CTACGCCGCCCCCGCCCGCCCTTGCCTCTGCTCCCCACTAGGATCCCTCCGCGTATTACATCTAGGCCGTTTCAAATCAAATAGGAATTGTTTTCTTTAAATTTATCGCTTTGACCTTGGAAGGCCGTATCGATTGCTGTTATATTACCTCTTCGGAAACCGCAACCTCGCAGACGTAAATGGCGTTTATAGAACCTTGTTGTTAGTTATTAAAAACAGTGTTCCTGTGTATGAGATGTAGTGGGCGGTCGACAGTTCAAGCGAACACATTTTGTATGATGTAGAAGTAATGGGTTGAAGGGTTCGCTCAAGGCGGCGGCGGGGGGAGGGTTTTATGGAGTCCTTGCTATCGAGGACGTTAGAGGGGGTTGGGGGGGCATGCGGGGTGCGGCGGGTTCATTGAGACCGGCGGATGAATGGGCGCGATGAGTCACCGGATCGATGCCGCCCGCCCGCCCTGCCGCGGCTGCGTCCAATGCGCCGTTTGCAAAATGACGTTTTTTTTTACGCGAGCTGCCAGTCATTAATTCCTAATTAGCTTCTAAAACACGCCCGGGCGTGGCGTTACGAATCGTGAATAATGGATCAATCTAATTATTTAAGCCACATCTTGTTCAGTGCAAATTACACAATACTCTGTACTGTATAGTGTGATTGTGTGCGATGCGGCACACTATAGGTACGGTTACGGCTTGTAATAATCGGTTTACCATACATGACTCGACGTCCGTCGGTTATCTTGGCAGTGCGACGGAAATGTATTTCCATTACCACTACCTTACTAAATATGGCTAACAATGACTATAATAAAATGAATTTACCTAATCGTAATTTTTCCCTTGAAATGTCCTTGTTATAAATATGAAACTTATTAGAACGTCTTATTTCCATTAACAATAATTGCTTAGACAGGTAAAAGGCATCATCATCATCAGCCTATTAATGTCCCCACTGCTGGGGCACAGGCCTTCCCTATGGATGGAATAGGGAGATTGGGCCATGACCCACCGCGCGGGCCCAGTGCAGATTGGTGGGTGCTAACTGCGACTGCAGATGCAGCCGGGCCCAACGGCTTAACGTGCCTTCCGAAGCACGGAGGAGCTCGAGATAGTAAATTTTTGGTCACCCATCCAATGACTGACCACTGCGAAAGTTGCTTCACTTCAACGATCGCAGCCGAACGCGCTAACCACTTGCGCCATCGAGCTCCTTCCTAGTACAGGATATTTTATAAAAATAATAAAAAAGCCGAGAACGCCTGCTAAATTACTAGAACAAAGCACATTTTTTTAAGAAGTTACTTGACAGAAAATATAATATGTTTTTTGCTTTTTTCTATTTAGACAAAGCTTTTTTTATACCTTTGCCAACAGCATTTTCAATTGAAGAATTTAATTTAAAAAGAAAATGAACAAGACAATAATTACCATTTTTTTATTTCTTTTTCCAGTATTTTATAGTTTTTTGTTAGATATTAACTTCTTTTTTAACTCTTTGGCTGTAAATTTTTGTTTCGGTTGGCTACAAAGGACAATGGCGAACTCCCATGCAAATTTTGTTGACATTTTTTTTTGCGTCTACAAATGGATTTATATTAAATTATAGTTTAGATTCTCGATTTGATTCGTCTTATTTATTTTATTTTAGGAAGTCTGGATTTAAAGATATTCCACATTGAAGTTTTAGAGGTTATGTCATACCAAGAATACAAAAACGAATTATAAAATAACTAGCAAACCAGTGAACCAAATGTTCACCACAAAAAAAAATGTATTTCATTAATTGAGAACTTTGGAGATTTTGTGTGGTTTCGTTTGAAATAGAAATCACGTGATTTCTCGAAAACCGGAAGTGCTACGTTACTCACATCCGGTTTGTAGTCTTATCAGACTATTCTCAACTTATAACTTAAACATTCTCTATATCTATCTCTTACGGTTTGGCCGCTGAAACAGCACCACGGACGGACGGACGGACGGACTTGTCTAATAGATAATAGATTTTCAAGAGTATTTTTAGAAAAAAAATAAAATACGTGGAACGGAACTATAAAAGTATATCGATCCCGTAGATTAAATAAATATGAAACACTTTTTTTATATATTGTTTATTCCACATCTGCTTTGATCACAATATCATAGATAGTTTTTGTTTTAATCTAAGTAGACAGTAGATACAATGAAATAAAATCCACATCAAGAACTCGTCCAAAATATCAGATTCGGGATTCTTAGGCAAGCACTACTCAACAGTCGACGGGGAAGATCTCGAAAGTCCAAAAGCAGTCCAGATCACATAAAAAACAAATCTCAGAAAAAAACACGGTACACCGCACCGTTTAAATTTTTGCAAATTTGCAAAATGCACATGTTAACGATAATGATAATAACAACATACCGATGACACGCATGACAGTGACAGTTATAATTTTTTTGTGTTAGAATTGGCGCCATAATCTTTTTGTATTGTGAAGATTATTTTATTTATTATGGTTTCAGTATAATATTGAAAAATAATGTTTCCTGATGTTTTTAATAGATAATTAAATATAGTTCAAGCGTAAAGCGATGCAAAACATACGAACAACATACTTGAAGTTGATTTAAGCACTGAAATCACTTAAAATAAATGACTCAAAAGCCGTGATGCCAAGCCACAATACAAAAAAAAATAGTCAATTGAGTTTCTCTTTTTTAAGATTTTAATTCCAGACTTAGACAACCGTCCTCAATTATATTATTATCATTTCTGATAATGACATCTATAGACGCTAAACATTTACTTCAACAAATATTTCGCCATTGTCCTTTGTAATATCATGTTATTAGTAGGTTTTTGTACGAACTTCTGGGCATACGATACGATATGTAGATACATATTTAATTTAATAATTGTGAGAAAATTATAATAAGCGAAATCGATATTGCATGGTTACAGAATCGACGTGTAAAAAGCATTCGATGCCCGTCCGCTGCGGCGGAGATCACTTTCTATGTAATCTCAGAAATTAATAGCAAAGTGAAAAATCTTTATTCAAATTGGATGCTTACCACAACGTACAACTCTTTTTTTTTAATAATTATAATTTGTGGTTATAACGACCACAAAAATATACATTGTGTGAAAATTTTAATTGTCTATTTGTAACTACAAGATGATTTGTAAATGTTGTTACATTATTATTTTTTAATGTTGTGGTGTTTTTTCATTCGTTTATCTCCTCAGCTAAAAATATGTTCATAACGCTCGCGCTCTCGTTATTATTGAATGGCTGTCGCAAGAAAAGTGACAGATTGCATCAACTTTAACAAAAGTCAAAGTTGACTGACGTCTCTGAGTGTGGCTGTTAAAGTTAAAAATGGAGGAGAGGCTTTCCAATAAAGTCGTTTTTACAATCGCCGTATTTAATTAAAAAATGTACGGAATACAGAACACAAATGAATCCTACGAGTCTGGTTAGCCCTTGCGTCGACCGATGGACGTTTTTTAAACAACATTTACAGAATTTCATCTAGTCTTTTATGGATTTGCCCCCTATATTTTTTAATCCTAACATCAACTTCTATGGGTTTAAGAATCACGTTTTGTTTCTTCTTTAACTTACTTTTTGTGGAGAGGCTATAGTATTTAATTAGCAACTTATGCATTCTAAAATATGCGAGTCCGATCATCATCAGACAGACTAGCGATGTTTTTTTTTGCATTTCGTATGCTAAACAGATGACATGGAGAAAAAAAATACAATTTCTATTGAATTTAATTTATATAATTTATTTAAAGGAACTAAATACTTTTTTCTTTATGCAAAACTGATTGATGCAATAAAATTTAGATTAACTTGATTCTTACATTTCTATTTAGCGAGCATTATACAAAAAGCGGCGACCCTTTAAACTTTTGTTGGATGGTTGGATTGACGATATAGGTAGGTATCATAGTTTCAAGTTTATCTGTGTCCATATTATCTGATAATGGCCCCGAGCGCTTGCCCTCTCATCGGCGCAATGTGACTTTCAATAGTTCCTCAATACATACCTACCTTACACGTGTGAATGAAGAATATGAATAAGGCCGAAACAATGAATGAAACTTCTCACTTGTCTTAGCTGTAGTGTTCGTAGTTTGCGTCAATAGTTAGCGGACTGCTTATAATTGCGAGTTAAAAATACATACCACAGTACCTACTATGCCCAGGTGAATAAGTATCGATTTTGCTTATTCACGAGTGTGATCTGAACTGTAGGTTACGTTCATGTTCTGAGAGTACCTATCTACCTGTTTGTCGATTGCTTATTTAACTTTGATCTATTTTTATAGAGCGTCTTCAAAAACCGATTAAAGTCGAGGGAAATACCTAGAATAATTATGATTACCTCCTACCTACCAACTTACCTTGATGTCTAAATATTACCTCAATAATCCGTTTGTCTCGACTTCTACATAATATTTATGTAATGGATTTGTAAGAGGATGATAAAATAATATGCATTTTAATGTCAAACAAATGTGTTTTTTTTTGTTTGCGGTTTCTTTATGGACATTTGTAATTTGTCTTGTATTTTGTCTACTAATAATAATTATTTAATAACTTATTTAAGCAGTTCTTATGTTCTGTAAGCAATAACTTGGCGTTCATAGTTCATAGTCATAATCATTTACGTACCGTCTGAATATTTGTTTTTAATAAAATTAAGAGTAAAGTAGAGCGCATAATATCCCAATTCCTACTATGAAGATGTAATATATAATTCACTTTTTAAAGTATTATATATATTATTTCCTAAATATGATGTGAGTCGTTGATTGTCTGCTGAAATTAGAGTAATAGAAATAAGTACTGCGTTCCTGCAGTTAATAATCGCTTTATTAAAATAGGTTGAAAAGTAATATTTATGAATTCATTAAAATAAACATATTCTAGCCTAAAATTGTCAATCACATTGTTTGTTACAATTGCGATTAAACATGTGTTGTTATTTTTCTTAAAAGCTGTTTCTCCTTCCTGCAGGTGACTTCGCGGAGTTCCACCGGTCGTACCCAGAGTGGTGCAGCGAAGCGGGCGCGCAGCATGTACCACATCTACCCCTCATGGGGCTACGGTTAGTACCTCTATTGCTTTGGAAAAACTTTTATTTCAGATAATATCAGCCAATTCGATTCCTGATTTTCTTACAACCATTGCAAAAGAATCAGGTGGACTTTTGCTTAAATGTACCGTATCCGCAGAAACAATCTTGTTATTTTCGGAACAATCATACTTGACGTGACAGATTTTGCCGCCTCCTTGTGACATAATGTTGACCAATTCATGGAGTTTTGATCATAGACTAAGGATCTCCCTAATATAAAAGCAATGTTTTTCTTATTTCAAATTACTATTTGCATTTTATCTATAAGATGATCTATAAAACGAAGGCTTAATTTCAAAGATCTGCGATCCATATTAATACAATTTCATTATTACAAGAGGGACCTAAGTGCAATTACGAAGTCCATAAAGAATGAAATTTGTCTGTTTTGCCATTTAATGCCATGCCATTTGCCATGTATCAATTCTTCGATAGTACATTTGTAAAGTTAGCAACCCAAACCTTCAAATATTTCCTCGAAAATTACTCTACCCGTTGAAAATATTTTGCTATCTGCATTGGAGTATGGTTACCAAGCGTACGGATAATGTCGGATTAATTTACGAATTGAAAAAAACAGCTTAAATTTCTAAGGTTGAACTGGTTCGAACAGAAACCTAACTAAAACCACCCACCACCACGTAGGCGATGACAAAAAAGATTTGATTAGTTTACAAACGTCGGCTCGCATAATTTTTGCATAATCAAGGTGATATCATCGCGTATTTGACCTAGCAAGGTCACTCCATTGGTGCAAGCACTTGAACATTTGCGTACTAGTCAAGGTGTCTATACTAAAAGAAATATCAGGTCATCAAAAATATCATTTTATTTAGTAGTTAGTCATTGTACCCTTTCAATAAGTATTTAAGCTTTACAACTACGACAAAGTTAATATGAAACGTGTTAACCATTTTTGGCAGCTTTAAATTAGTGTCTACTGGGTGAGCTAGAAACTGTTAATTAAATTGATACACTACTTATTAATAGCATTGTCAGAGGAGCTCATTAATGAATGTTATTAAATGAAATCCGCTCGCTCGTTGATTGCGTGAACTAGGAAACTCGCGCACGCGTGGGAATCCGATCTCATGCGCTTGAGACGCGAGACGTTTCCCGCAATCACTACGCGCCGGAAAAAGTAGCAGCTAGGGTTGCCAACGAATTTCGGGTGCCGTCGCATTTCCGGAAGCGTAACGTGACGCGATAGAACCCGTTACAATATCCCATCCGCCTTCATGAATAAGCCGAATGTTGCGAAGAAAAATTTCAAATATTGCGTGAGAACCCTCATGTAATTTTCTTCTCGACGCGAGCGTTGAGCTTGTTTGGCGTATTCTACTTAAGCAGGAAATATATGTATAAGTGATATAATACATGGAGTATGTAAATTTTGAGTATCTCACGGCAATGCATCAGACCTAGAAGTGGCAACCATAGTGGCAGCCCAGCTATTCCGGTGCGACCAGATACCGATACTGGCTTTCTCGTCGCCACTTTGTTCGTTAACTCTAACTCGTACCATGAGAAAATATACGGTTTCTACAAATTATTACTATTTAAGATTCTTTGGGCTTGATGATATAGCCACAGACTTAGATTTAAGAACGGACGCGATTTTAGAGACATTTGAGAAATAGTTATTTGAAAAAGCTATTGCTGTTGTGCATTGGCAAATATCGTGCGATAGGGACAACAGTAGCTAACCCTGAAAATTGCTTACAAAAATTGCAAATCTCCAGGTTTGGCTCTCGACGATTTATTCCTCAAAAATTAGATTTATATGTAAAAGAAACTTTACCCAGAGAATAATAAGTAGTTATACTAGACCCCTATGTTTTGTTTTATTTGTAAATGCTTAACTAGTCTTTATTTAGTGGTGATATAAATTTTGTTTATTTTTGTCATTTTTGAGGACTTCTAGTTTCTTTGAAACACAAATTATTTATGCAAAAAAATCATTCTCTTGTGATAAAAATCAAGGGGGAATCAGTCGATAACGTTTGTAAATAGATGACGCATTTTCAACTTGTATGTAAACCGAGCCTGACATATTTTGAGGACACTGTAGGTGGCGGAAAAGCATGAACTTTGGTCACCCGTTTGAATTCCATCGTTTTAGGTTTCCGTAAAAGGGTATGAGTAAGCGGAACCCTATTGCTGTCACTATTGTCTGTCTGTCTGGCTGTATGTCACGGGTCTCTAGATCGTAAATCTAATGAGTCGCAGGACTGAAATTTTGATATTTTATGTGGAATTAATGAATTACCCAAAGCCGAATATTTAGTTCAAAATTCAATTAAATTATATTTTCATGGGGGGTCTTTTTTTTTCTTTTTAAACACCAGAATGTGACATGTGGTTGTTCAGAGCTCGTTGAGTAGGGTATAAATTTAATGTTGATTATTATTTATTTACAATAACAAAGAAATGCTTTTACTAACTAATATACCGAGGCCAGTCAAGACTCGCGCTTGGCCAGCTTTACAGCTTAATTTATCAGTTGGCACAATTTTTTTTTATTAAAAAAATAGCGTTGAAAGTCGTCCATTGGACACCATTTCTGTCAAGTGTTTTTAAAGTATTGACATATTTATGATTTTCCTATCAAAATTATTGTTATGTTCTCGTTGTCTTTGAGTCTGTCACTTTGTGAATTGCTAAAAAAGTGTAAAAAAGCCCATTGCGTCTGAAATCGTAGCCTTCATTTTCCATCTCACTCCTTATACAGTTCTCCGTTTTAGGTATTATATAAATTGCACTACGGGAAGCAATTGAATAAGCTGAGTCTAAAGATTAACCCATACCACAAACCTACTAATAGAACGAGAAGTCCTGGAAAGAATTTTAACTACGCTGTACTAAAATGAATTTGGAGCCGCAAGTTCATTTGCTTGCTACAGTTAATTTTACCCTAATAGACTCAGAAGTTTCAAATTAAATTAAGTCTGCTACTTATTTATTATTATTTTCTACAAAACAGTGTTAATAAGTTACCAATCACTGTCTTAAATTAAAATGTTGTCTTTATTCAACATTACAATACAATACAATACAAAACACTTTATTGAACACCACAGAAAACATTACAATAAATACAGAGCCATTTAACATTAATATGGTGCAAAAGTGTCGATCAATTTTAAATCTTAAAATTGTTTGAACTTATTTCACAATTGCACTTGCATATTAATGACTTCGGGGAATGCGATAGTGCGGATGTTATAACCATCTTATTGAGGATGTACACTTTTAGGATTAATTATAATAATATAGATCGTCATACGGAAGTTATGATTCATTAAGGCCCGTTGCCGGTCGGCACTATGATGCCAACACCGTAAATAAATCGATGCCTCCGCTCCGCACGCAGCGATAACGTCATGATGACATTCATTAATTAATGGTAGCATAGTAGGTTGACGTTTCCCTAATTAATTAGCAAAGCTGTGATGAAGATGCTATAAGAGAAATACCAAATAGAAGTAACAATCTATGTAATTACACAGAACTTGCAGTTACCCAAAACTTTCAAATTAGTTTCAATGAATATATTTGATCAGAATCGATTTTGGGAAAATGACATTTTGTTGTTTTGACTGGAATTTGTATGTAACAATAATGAATTATGATTGTGACAGAAATTTATTTAATAGTCATTACGTCACTCAGTGAATGTATTACGTTAAAGGTCATAAAATTGTCACTAGGTAATTCATACATACATACAGCTTTTTGCTTCGAGGTTTTCTGTAAAATAACGAGCTATTTATCACGTAGAAAATGCAGACTTTCAAATAAAACTCATTGTGTGGCTGTCTCGCAGCTAACTAAGAGTGTGGCTTTTCCGAGTATAAACCTGTCTGCTCGGTGGGTTTATTGGTTCCCACGGTGAACATAACACAATACACACGAGTATTCATTGCGGCATGCTGTCTGACAATCTGTTTTTTACAGAACTAATCATTGTTCCAAGATAATTGTTTCTGAAGACGTAACATGCCTAGATAATAAATAATTTAGATCGACTGCGCGCTTCGTATACTCTTAATTCCATTTTACTATTGCTATTTGATAATGTAGGTATGGGGTCTGTAGTATGGGTGGAAATTTAATTAGTGGTAGGAAAAACGGTGAGTTGAGGCTAAACAATAACTAGTTACAGTAAAATACTAAATACTTACACTGCGTAACTAGACCAAACTTATTTTTCCTAAATAAATAAATTAATTACGAAATATCATGTATCATTTTGACTGGAATCATTCAAAGCTTTGAGTAATTTCATATTCTTTGGTTAATGCTCATTTTTTTGTAAAAAGAACAAGTTCGGTTTAAGTTATGCCCCTAGAAAATGTGTAGAGGACATTGAACTTTTGTAACGAGGAGGTGTGTGATTGAGCAAAGTGTCTCGTGCACACTACCTACCTACGGTTGCATTCGTAAGGCCTTGGTTAACAAACTCATTCATCATCGGTGAGCGGCGCGAGGCCTCGTCCGCTCGTCCGTTGCTCGGTGCGTCGGAGTGGTGCTCATGAATGGAGACTTGAGTCGCCCATTCATGCGCGCGCCGCCCGCGCCGTTCACCGCGCCCGGCGCGCGAATCATGCCGCACACCAAAATGTTAATGAAAACCACCTCCATCGTACCTAACCAATGTTTAATCAATGAAACTGAAAGTAACTTGCATTCACTCATCAGGTTTTGTTGATGTTTGTAGCTGTCGGCATCGAGTCTTATTTGCTCTGCGCTTACGTTCTTTGTTCCTTGCCGAAAACTTGAGCGTGAGTTCTATTTTTACATGAACGTCTTACGTCAAGGTTTCCCATTCCAAAAACCACTTAAGTAAATAAATATACACTCCCCGGAAATACGTGAGGCAATATAATTCAGTGCATTATTTCAAATTCTATGGAAGTACTCGTATGAAATAGCATGATGACGTCTTACCGTCTACCTTGAGCGGCCCC